CCCCCCCCCCGTCATTTGCTCTGCCTTCAAGCAAGCAGCTTCTCTGTGTTCACACATTTTTATGATTCTCTGTTTCTCAGTCACCCCATTCTTGGGCAAAGATATAAAATGTTTCTTTTCCTCCTGATTTTCTGGAGTAACAATCACAGCCCCTGTAACTTGGCAGAGGAGGAGCATTTCTTTATAGCATCCATTCTATCTGCTCAGAGTAATAGGCTACCTCACAAATGCAGGTTTATAGCAATTTATTTAAACTCCTCATAGCAGAGTACGAGGCTGCAAGGAGTTCTAAATTTAATTGCAAGTTACTGTAATGAAAAATGAAACCTAGATGAAAACAGTTATTTAAATCTTCATGTCTCTCAAATCTGCACCAGACATTTCCATGTAACATCAAACTCCAGAAAATTATTCTTTTCCTTAACAAATTAGTTCAGAAAACACACTCTGAACTATTGAAAACTTGGATGCGTGCTCTGGTGCTCCACAATGAGAACACACTGTACAAATTCAGTGACGATATACATCTAATGTCACCCTCTGTGTATCTTTTCTTTGGGACTTCAAAACAAAAATTTCCAAACTACACCCTAGAGTCTTCTCTTAATTCTACCATACATCTGACATTATGCAGAACTGAATGAGGCTCAAGGAGGTCACTATGTTTCAAAAAAACAAAACAATACAAATGAAGGATTTATATTCACAGGTGGCTCAGAAAGAGAGTAGGACTCATACTTGGGGTCGGTAGCACAGAGAAATTTCTTTCAGCAGAAAACTTAGCTTACAAGATATCCTCATAACCAGAATAGATGTTAATGTTAACATTTTACTCAACCATTATTTGTGGGTTTTTTCCCCTTTGTATTGAAATAAGCAGTTTGCAAAGACTTCCTCTGGTCATTAAAACATGACCAGGTAGGAAAAGATAAGTAAAATACTTACTACCACAATTTGGCTTAATATACTTAATATTCTTATACAGTTTCTTTTCAATAAACAAAATATGCCCAATTGATTCCAGGAAACATTAGATCTTTTCAATTCAGTGTCATGCCATGGAAAGTAGAAAAATCACAATGTGAGATAATTTCTTGAATCCAATGGTTTTAGTAAATTAAGACTTTTTTTTTTTTTAAACAGCGATCCTTGTATTTCTGTAAAATTTAGGGAGAAATTAACATCGGTGTGTGTGTACACGGCCCGAATTGAATCAGCGATATTTCTGACAGTGGCGTCGTGGTCTTCACTGCTGTTAGAGCAAACAATTTTTCTGAACTAAGCACATTTTCTTGAATGTCTTTGAAATGGTGGCTAAAATTACACAGTGAATTCTGAGAAACCAGTAATAATTTAGTTTGTACAACATGAGAAGTACTGATGTCTGGGCATGTGTCTGGGAGCAACTGGGTCAATTTGGTCAGGACGGTTCAAATCCTGACAAGAAAATCTCATGCGATCAATTAAACTGAGCTGATGGTTCTTTCGATAGGAGAATATGGATTATATCTGATTCTAGGAACATGATGAGAACATAATGCTTAAACAAATGAAGATCTGTCTAAAGCATGATTTGGTTGGTTGAATGGTAAGATGAGAAAGACTGACTCTGGCCTATGACTAAAAAGCTCAAAGTTCCAATTCTACATTAATTACCTTTTATGAAATTTCCAATGGTAAAGTTTTGGGCTCATTAGCTAAAACAATTCTACAAAGGCAACATTGCTCTGTTGAGATTGTTAACTTTGGAGAATGGTATTTTATTTAATAGACAGCATGGACTTCATACATATCCATTATCAGTGCCTTGAAAACCAAACAACTTTAAAAGTTAGCAGCAGTTTCTGCAAGTACAAAAATACACATTTATTACATAACAGGATAGTAAAATTTGTCAAGATATATTATACAAACTCAAAGCATTTTTGATAAAGCATCAGTCTAATATATTATAGATTAACGGAGTATAATAAAATGACATGTTCTTCGAATCATACAATATAATACTTTACAGCAATATTAACAAACTATTCACATTAAGTATTACAGGAGGATCTAAGGGAACACAGAGAGTAGGAATAATTAAGAACCTCAACATCTATTTTCTTCTGTTTCAAATTGGGTGGATGGTTTTCTACTCATCAACATATATAAAGGCTAGAACTATTATTTTGTTAAGTAGAGAAGAAATTTCTTCCAGAAAGACACTCCAAGCTGGAAGAGCTTCATTCACATCTTGCAGTTCTGACAGTAGCTTTGCCCTAAGGGTAAGGGGAATCCCTGTTGCCTTTATATACCGCAAAAAATGCATATGTACACTGAGGAGTCTTAACTATAGGAGTGGTTGGTTACAAGGTGACATCCACTTCACATCTGTGACTGAGATGGTCAGTGTCATGAAGGAGTTCTTTGGACCCAGAGTTATAAAAGCTGATTATAATTAATTAGGGTAAACAGGGCTATGTACCCTAGAGGTAGGTAGCACCAATAGCTAATACTGAAAAGACTTCTTGTATTTTACAGAAAACACTTTTTATTTTTATTTTATTGACTTTAGAGAGAGAGAGAGAGAGAGGGAAACATCGATTTGTTGTTCCACTTATTTCTGCATTCACTGGTGGCTTCTTGTATGTGCCCTGACTGGGGATCGAACCCACAACCTTGGCATATGAGGATGATGATCTAACCAACTGAGCTACCCAGCCAGGGCTGCCAGAAAACATTTTTTCCCCTATAACTGAAAAAAATGCTACAGTTAGGACAACAGGGAAAGAACATCTGACATGAAAGCTTCTTGGTGGCTCAGAAAAATAATTCGGAATAAGCTAGTTTGTGGGAGAAAGGTCCATCTGATGGTGGACTAGAGAGACCCAACGGGTTCTAAACAGCTTCTTATAAGCAACAAGTTCAAATGCAGGAAGATGCACATCCTTCCCTGACTCTGTCCTTTCATACTGACCGGCAAGGCCTAATCATCAATGGAGCTAATCCAGGAGATGTACCAGTGTCACCTTAAGGCAGAGAGAAGAGCAATGTCCAGGGATATAAAATAAACCAGCGGGGTGGGGAATACACTATGTAAACCATGAATCACTGGGACAGAAATACATAAAAACTCCGGGAGGTAGGGCAATCCAAAGCCAGCAACTGAAGGCCTGGCAGCCGCCTCAGTGGGTTTTCTGGCCTGCAGCTCTGCACAGCTGGCACCCTCTCACCGGCCCTCTACGGCCACGGGAAAACGGGAAAAACGGCGATTGGTCAGGAATGGTTCTGGCTAAGAGGCCGGGCTGCAGGAAAGCATTTTGGCAAAGAGGGGCCAGGCCTTCCTCATGCTGGCACCGGCATCCCTGTGACGGGAAGGACTGTCGCAGCTGCGGTCCTCCACCATCAGGTAGCGAGCGCTTTCAGGTCGCCTCCTAGGAGGGAAAGCTGCGCTTCTGAAGAATGTTCCCGGCACGGGTCCCTTTGGAGGGGACGCTGAGGAGCAGCCGGGTCCTCCTTCCTCTGCACAGCTGGTTCTTGGGGCTTTGTGGAGCCTGCAGCCCAAGGAAAGCAAGTCAAGCAGCACCCGCAATGGAAAAGCGGCGCCCTGTGCTCATGCTCCCGAGCTGCTCTAGTTTTCCAGGCCAGCCGCGGCGGTGGGCTGTTTTCTGGAATGATCCTGTGAGGACGTGACTATGTCAGAGACCTGGCCGCTGACTTGGGCTCGGGAAATGTTTCCCACCATCTCCTCCATGACCAGGACGCCTTCCTTCCCAGTGCTCTGATGAGCGGCGTTTTCTTGCCTATTTATTAAACACATTCCACGCGACGTGGATGGTTTCGCTGTGCCCTCCCCTCTCTCCGCAGTCCTGGCCTTCTCAGGACACGGATCTTCACGGTCCCTTTTTAATCTAAGTGACAAGCCAGTCAGAGAGAGGCAGGTACCTTATGGTTTCACTTGTATGTGGAATCTAATGAACAAAATAAACTGACAAAACAGAAACAGACTCAGAGAGAGAACAGACTGACAGCCATCAGAGGGTTGGCTGAAAAAGGTGAAGGGATTAAGTAATCCCCCCCCAAAAAAGAACCCTCATAGCCACAGGCAACGGCCTGGCGATCAGCAGAGGGAAAGGGGGTGCGGCAAGCGGAACAGGGTAAACGCGGTGAACGGTGATGGGGGACTTGGCTTTGGGTGGTGACAGATTATAGAACTGTACACCTGAAACCTATATAATTTTATTAACCGATGTCACCTAATAAATTCAATAAAATTGAAAAAAAAAAAAAAAAGGAGTTGCTTTCTCTCTCTGCTAGTTTCTTTAAAATCACACGAAAGGCCCGATCCCACGCTTTCATAAGGAAAGGCCTCGCGATCACTTAGGTGATGAATTTTTTTTAAGTCTACATATTTTGCCAAATGGTCTCAATAAAATGAATTATTTTATTGTCTCAAGTATTAGCAATAATTATCTTTATGCTACCTATTCCAGGTACTTTATACAAAGGGGTCATAATAATTATTGTCTTGATGTCATTATTAGCCCAGTTTCTGTTCTTGTAGACATCAGATTCTTACTGTGGGAAAATGTCTTTGGTTGAATGTTTGTCCCCAACGTCACAAGCTACCACAGGCCCCGAGTCTGGGCTGAATACATCATCCGCAACCAAAGAGCTGGGTGAGGACCTCGAACACGGCAGGGTGCCAGGGGAGCACCGCCCACTGCCCTCTCCTTCCCCATGTAGCTTCATGCACAGCTCGAATGTGTCTTCCACTAGGCCGAAGGGAGCGCTACCGTGTTTCTCTGAGACGTCGCTGGGGCATGAGCTATACCGCTGGGCCGTCTGCACAACGCCAAGTCCTTCTGTTGCCCTCAGGGGCATGTCTTTCTGTGTGTCTTGCAGGGAGGTGGCTTCTGGAAGCCCAGAGGCGTGTGGAGGCGGCTCGGTGGGTCCCTGGAGAGAGGCCGTTTTCCTTCCCTCTGACCTGTTGGCCCTTGCTTTGTTTTTGAGGGACCAGTTTTTCAGACTGGCCATGCCGTTTCTCAACCACATGCTGGGATGGAGAGTTACAGAATGCACCTGCGAGTGCCGCTCCACCGTACCCTTTTTTGTATAAGCCGGGCGGCTGCCGGCCTGCCCAGAGGAGGTACCGGGCACCCCAGAAACGAGACTGGACCCGCAGAAGTCAGAAGAAAGCTCCTCCTGCTTGCTTGGAGCCTGAAAAGTGCAATCTATTGGAGAGGAAGCTTCAGTGGGTGTAAACACAGAATGTTCTGAGATCTGAGAAAAAGCGCTGTCTTGGGAGCTCACCGAGGAGCCAGACGGGGAAGTGCCTGGGGAGGACAAGCTGGAGTAGCTAGTCCTGGGGCAAATGCTTAATCTTGAGGGTAAGAATTTCTCAGGGTTCTGGTTTGTGGCACTGCTCTTGCCCACCTCGATCCCCATCACCAAACTCTGGTTAATGAGCTTTTGCCCCTCCATTTGCAAAGACTTGTGCTGCTTGAGATAAGCCTCCTCTCCGTGCAAGTGGCCGGCTTCCGAGCTGGCTTTACTGTGTTTCCTTGAAAAAATGCCCCTGAGATAGGTGAGTTTGGAGTGCTGGTCATCGATGCTGGGCTCCGAGCAGCGCCGGTGCCGCCTGCAGCTCTTGAGGGCGTCTGCTGTGTGCGCGGGGGTGTGGCCGGGTGTGTCTGCGTCCAAGGGCTGGCTCCTGGCGTGATCATGAGGGGACATGTGACTGCAAGACGCCACAGAGATGGCCACCGGCTTGGACTGCGGGGGAAGCCTCATGTGATTTCCTTCATGGCCAAAGAAGCTTTTCTTCTTAGCATTTTTATTCGTGGCATTTTTCTTGGTATCGGTGGCTGTCACTAAACTCTGTTGAAAGCACGCCTTACCCTCCTCCTGGGAGGGTTCGTTCCGCTTCAGATGGTCCTTGTCCTTCTGTGACAGGATCGCATCGCAGCTGGACTTGCGTAGCTTCTTCTGGTAAAACTCCCTGAAAGAAGAAAGCTTGGAATCCCGATAGTCGATGCTGGGCTCCGAGCAGCGCCGGTGCCGCCGGGGGCTCTTTGGAGCCTCCGTGGCAGCTGTGGGCAGATAGCTGGGTGCGGTCGTGCCAGACGGGGCCCCGGCGTGGTCCTGCAGGGTGGCCTCTCTGTACAGTACCGTGACGGTCACCTGCTTGGATTCAAGAGGCTGTTCCATTTGAATGTCTTCATGTTTAGAACGGTCTAAGTCAAAGTCACTCAGGGTCAAAAGGCCTTCCACCTCCGGCTGGTCGAGGTCGTAGTCACTAAGGGTTAAGACAGAGTCCATGCTCCTGCTCCCCTGGCCAAGGCTCTTCACCAGGTCACTACACGGGGCATCAGCATCTTCATTCAGCTCATTCTCTAGGCTGTCATAGGAGGAGTCAGTCATTTGTAAGCAAGAGATATCTGTGAAAAAAATCAAACCAGGATTAACCTTGTTACTTACTCCAAATACATGCTGCCTTAAAAAAAACACCTGACGGTGATTAGTCTAATTCTCTTCTCATGCAGATTTTTCAAATTTCTACTCTCAGGAAAAAAGGAATCTTTCACAATCTTCTCAATTTGTTAGTGTGGAATATAAAATAAAATTGTTTGGGTATGCTAGATTTATCTCAGTTCCTGAAGGAATGGGCTTTCCTTAAGTAAGATTTCCTCAAAGCAAGGTGACATTGTCATAATACCGAGAAATGATAAAAAAATAAAAATAAAAGGGACTCAATGCCAGGTATGCTTGGGTTCTGAATAAGACTGCCGTCTAGCATGGACTGCTGGTGAACACACATAATCCACTCTGGTCTCAGGGCAACCAATTACTAACCCTATCAATTTCTCTTTGACAAAGTTCTTTAATATCCATTATTTATTTAATCTTTAAGTAAAACAAAAAAGTTAGACATTATGGTTATCCATATTTTATAGATACAGAATCGATGTTCAGTTGGAGAGAACAGTTGGCCAAAGGTAACCTAACTAGTAATTGGTGGTACAGGAATGCCTACTCTGGAAGGTGGCATGTCTTCAAGTCTCCCCTATCCCACCATGAGGCTAGCTGCTTTGAAACTGCTTCGCAGCTCACTGGCATCCTGAGGTGTCTCAGGGACTGCAAGAGGAAGGAGAGAAAGGAAAAGACCAGGCCCGCCTCTACTGCCTCTGGGCCTTCTACTCTGGTTTTAACCACAGTCCTTCTATTATGTATATTAGCATTCCTTGTAAAGCTTTATTTAAAAAAGGTTAAAACCATCAAACCATGTCATGCTGCCACTAACAAGTTCCTGAATTTTGGGATCTCGTCTTACACACTTCTAACCCCATGGCAGTGTTGACATTAGCAGGCCTGCTAACGAAGGAGCCCTAGGCGCACTGACCCAGGTCAGTGGCTCCCTTCCCTGAGCTGCTGTGGGATCCGGGACAACCACTGTCCCACAACCTGCACAGACACGTGTTGATTTCTCATAAAAAACAATCCAGTTATTCACAATACCTGAGGTATTCTCTCTAGTATCACACCTCACTGAAACCTCTCCAAAGAGGGAAGTGATTTCTTCTCCAAATATTCTACAGCAATTTTCAATCAGAAACTGAATAAGCAGAGTGACCTGTACAAAAAGGGACAGAAATGAAGTGCCACTTTTCAGATAGCATGTCTACAAATCATATTTCATATATGAATCCTGATTTCAACAAAACAGCAAAAGAATCCGGAAGAAAATTCGTCTGTTTTAAAAGTAGACAAAAGAGTTTCCCCTAAAAAGCTATGACGCTGTCAAGAGGAATTTTGAGACAGAAATGAATTTTAATCAGTGGACTAAAGTTATTATTTGTGGCCTTGGTCTAACGCTAACATTTTAATCCCAATGGCTATGTCTTTAAAATTAGGGTAGTTTTAAGTATTCTCTACAGTGTTGGGGTGAAGAAACACACTTTGTTATTAGGGTCCTCAAAGCATCATTAGATGGAGACTTACGGAATGTGTTTCTTTTTAAAAGGAGGCTGTCTTGGGTTGGGAAGAGGGCATCCTCTGTGGGTTGACTGTGAGAGAAACAGCTGGAGAGAAAACTTGCATTTTGCCCAACTGGTCTCTGCCTATGCATTTCCTTCCCGTAGGCTCCCTAACTGGAGGTGCTCGGGGAGGAGGAAAGATTTAACTAGGGAGCTTTGTGCTTCCACTGAAATGTACAGGAATCTTCCCATAGTTTCCCTGCTCCAATAGCTGAGGCAAAGGATCAGGCAGAATGGTGGGAGCACCTGGAACCACAGGAGTGTGGTTTCAAGTAACCACTGCATGAGTGAGGTATTATCACCACCTCCAGTTTTCAGATGAGAAACTGGATCGATGTAACTAATTTTGCCCAAGATTGTACATCTGGCAAGTGGCGGGGCTGAGAATTGAACCTTGGCTTGTCTAACTTCAAAGTCCTGGTTTCTTTTTAAAATCATATCAACTACTTTCTTATCACTCTGTGGTCTAAGTCAGTCATAGTTTTTTGTCTCTTTAAAGGGGACAGAGAAGTAACCCAACTGCTAGCACTTTTCTGCTCCAGAAACCACTTTTCTATAATCTACCAAAATAGGACAGAACAATTAATGAACTCAGATTTATGTTACTTAAGAAAATGTCTTTCAGAATTAATATCCCGAATTTTAGGTTCAAAATGGGGACTCAGTCCCCCGGGGGCACAAAAATGGAAAACGTCATTACCTTTTTTGTCAATTCGTTTTCTAGTTCTGGGCTGGAGGAAGTAGAAGGCCAAAGAATGCTTGGAGCAATACACACGGCTAAATTAAACGCGGTCATCTGGTTAGATGAGGAGTGTTGCTCAATGTTGTGTAACACCCCAAAAAGGTACCTTAGAAGAACAACATTGGCTCTTGGGAGCTGATCTAACAGCCTAAAGAGAGAAAAAAATACACTCTTTAAGCAAGATAGTTCATAAAAAGTTTGTATAAACAGGCAACCCTCGCTTTCCATGAGTTCCCCGTGCAAAGCAAGAACACAGCCCAGATGTGCAGGCATTCAGTTCACATGGTGCCAGGCTAAGGGAGGGTTGCCTGCCCAGAAAGAGAGAAAATAAGCACAAAGACTTAGTTCTTTATTTTGTACACTGTCTTCACAACTCAGTAAATATGTAAAAGAATGCAGAGAAATGGCTCATGAAAAACACTACTCGAAATATTTCCCTGAAATTAGTATCATCTCTTTTAACTCAGGCAAATCCTATAACATTTCAGAATATTCTCAACCAAAATTCCCCAAAAAGCTTTCTGATGAAACTTGACAACCATTAAACTTAAAGTGCTGCTTTATTTCCAAGTAGCAACGCAGGAATTGTGTCTCCTGGTGGGAACCCACACTTGACCCATTAGACCGCTCAGGCCATTCTGAGGGCTCAGGCCCTGCTTCGCTGGCCTCCAAAGTCAATTTGTCCCAAGGCTCATCTCGCTTGTATCACTTTCGCATGTAAGTCAAGCTTATCACAGTCTGTTTCCTACTGTTCTTATTTTGTAACCGACAAGGGATTTTTACATTATCATTCACCGAAAGTGACTTTTACTACCATCCGGAAACATATATTGATAGTCGTGGCTGTGGCTTCTTTAAAAAAAGAATCTGTAACCAAGAGGAGGAAATGAGGTGGCCTGATTCTTGTTGCAAAAATAACAGAGAGGCATTTCTTCAGTACCACGAACTGACGGTGAGTGTAGTTTTGTAGCGACAAAGTACACAAGACGTTGAAATGAACCGAAAGATCAACGAGGGGGCTGCACGGGGCGAGGCGCTGTCCATCTAGAACACTCTTCTGGTCACCCGGGTTTGCGGGGCTGCAAGCCTTTGCGCTAACTCTACCAGCTCCGCAAACGGTGGGTGATGGGCAGCACGCAGTGCACCTAACACCTGTCCACAGAACTGAAAGCTGTCTGGTCAAGAGACAAATGATTTATTTGTCCCCCTCCCCTTCAACGCCCCGTAAAGACAGCCAGTTTCGCATCTCAGCACTCCTGATTCAACTACATTAAGTTGTGGCAGTTTGAAATCTCCTTTGAACTGTCCGCAACATCGGTTCTCTCATGAATTAATGATTTCAATGAAATCTTCACGAGTTCATTTTATATTTGTATGACAGTCATCACTTTACTTTTTTTTTTTTTTTTAAAAGAAATCATTCTTTAACAGTAGGATATAAAGTTTTAGACTAGGGGTGGGGAACCTTTTTTTCTGCTGAGGGCCATTTGGATATTTATAACATCATTTGCGGGCCATACGAAATCATCAACTTAAAACTTAGCCATGAAAAAAGCTGCTAGATTTACTGAATTTCGAGTCCCTCCTGCGGTTGCCTTGGCAGGGCCAGACCAAATGATTTCGCTGACTGTACACGGCCCACAGGCCGGATGTTCCCCATTCCCCACCCGTTTTAGACAATGAGCCGCAAGCATAGACTCTGATCTCCACTATCTCTGAGTGGTTTCCCCCAAACCATACGGAAGCAGAGGTAGTGTTTTGTGACAAGGCTTTGCTTTCCGGTGTCTCCAACAGTTGTACTATGTTCTTCTATGCATAAGGGATGTCTATCAATAGCAGTGTGTAGATAACAATTCATATTTGAAAGCTGCTCTAGCAAAAGCTGTCCTGAACAGGCATATGCAAAAAAATGATAGTGGGATTCTTGGGGTTTCAAAGAACTGGAAGTATTGCTTTCTTTTGATGGACACGTCTTCCCTGCTCTCTGCAATGCAGGGAATGCTGAGGAATGGGCTGGGTAGGTCCTGCCAGCAGCTTCCTCTTGCATGAGCCCAGGCGGTACACTCCTGTGGTCAGCCGCAGCGGGCCACTCCCTTTTCCTTGCTGCCTCCCTGCAGCGCTCCCGCACGGCCCTCCCCGCACACCCCTTCCAGAGCACCGGCCACACTGCCCCGTAGCGGGACTCCTGCTGTACCTGTGCCCTCCACCGGACTCCGGGGTCCTTGAGGGAGGAAATTTTCTCTGTATGAATTCAGCTGCTGAACGAGGCATTTAAGGAGTTGTCTGGTTATATATTTACCAGAATGAAGATCAGAAGTTATCGCATTAGCTATTACTCTAATGGGTTTCAGCTCCTCTCAGAGTTGGATCTAGAGAAGGTGTGCAGTGGGCAAGTGTGCACAATGCCAGGCTAACAAGATTAGGGCGGAAACAGCAGCAACAATGACAGCAGCTAGCAAAAATCTGTTTTTAAACTGGTCCCCACGGATATGATTTTGATAGTCGTCATTACTTTAATAGACAAGCTTATAAAATATACGTGCTTTTAAAAAGTATTTTTGAGGCATGACCAAATTAGAATAATTACCTCTGAATTATATTTATTTTCTCTTCATCATTTCCTTGATCCATTACACAGACCCAGTGATCATAGAGATCTGATGAGAAAATACTTCTGGGAATATTTCGTAGAAAATCCTAACAGAGAGGGAAAAATAAATATTTTAAACCATTATTCTCATGCTAAACATGGACTGGAGAAATGATAAAACATTTTGTTGCAAAGTTCAGTTACGTCTTCCCTTCTTTGGAATACACAGAGCTCTGTGCCAACTCTCCACTAATGTGCACATGTAGAAACACATGCTGTGCTTTTTTCTAACAAAAACCAGAGGGATAACTGGAGTTAGGACTATAGTGGGGAAGATACAGGACAACCCGCTTGGGCTGAAAGCTCGTTTGTGTACATTTTAGCAAACTAGGACTATGCGACAGGGCCTGGCAAGTCATCCTAAATCCCCTTGCCCCCTCTCCAATCACTAAGTCAAAGAAATGCACAAAGGTATTTGTGGGGTTCATGATGTAATCAGTCACTCAGTCACGCTATACATATTTATCCCTATGTGCAGACACTGCTTGAGGACAGAGCAGGGAATAAAATAAAGTCCCCGCTATTTTCAAACTTTCTGTCCCAGGAGTATTGGTGACAAAGTCCATCTAGAGAGAGTTTCCCTGCTGTTCCCCATACAGGGGCCCTCACTGTTTGGGGGAGAAAGCATTCCAGGCAGGGGCCAGGCTCTGGGAGGCTGGGGAAGCGCCCCATGCCCGATGTACACTAAATAGCACCCCCCGGCACATTTTCCTTTCCGGCCTTCCAGACCCTGCTCTGCTGAAACGCTGGTGGGGCTGGGTGTGGGGAGACCAGACTGGAACACAAGCAGCATATGACCAAGGGCGTTTGTTGTTTGACCTCTGTTTATAAAACGCTTAAAAAAACCCAAATTTGTTTCTGGTCCTACGTCATTTCTGTTCTAAGCCAACTCTCTCTTGTTGTTTTTGGCATGGTATCCGCAAGGCTAAGCTTGCGAAGCCTGATCTCTACCTCAGTAAACTTTAGGCAGAGAAAACCCAATGTCACGTCTAAGCGCTGTGCCCGTGGCTGGCTATCATTCTGCAAGTTCCCGGAGGTAGGTGAAAGATGCAGCTGAGCAATTTAAATAGTGCTGGAAAACCAAACCAGCAGCTTTACCGATGTGTTTCACAAAAGGCAACATACAACTTGTTACTTACATGTCATGTTTACATTACTGATATGAAGGCTGTGGTACCTTTTCGTCACAGTTAGCTGATTACACGTGTATCTCCCCCACTAGACCCTCACTCACTACTCATACCCTTCGGCGCCAAGCACAGACCCAGACATAGCAGTGGTCATTACTGAGCTGTTGCTATTTGCATATGCACCGATATTAATGAGGGACAAGGGAAGGCCAAGTAACTATAATTGAGATTCTAAGATAATTTTAAAAACCTCTTTGTAGTCACGTGTCCCATCATGATACAATTTTTTTTAAGGAGTGGTTAACAAGTGGGAAGATGACTGATTCCTCCTGTCCTATTATGTCTTTCTCTGTTCTATTATCTCTCCCAGTGGAAATGTACATGGATACTTGTGATTCAGGTGTGTCTTTACAAAAGTTACCTCTTTTTGGGCAAAGCCATTGAATTTTCATAATTCCAAACTAATTTTAGTTGCTGCACCTACTTTAAAAGTCAGATTTCGAAGAGGCAAATTCTGTTACTTCAAAGTGGGGCAGTGACAATAGCTCTCTTTTAAAATCTCAGTGGAAAACATACTTATGATCTGTCTTGAAGAAAAACATCATTAAATCTTAAACCTACACTTGAAAGATAATAGGTCGTAACATCTCAATGAACTCTCCACAGCTGGAAAAACAAGTTACGAAATGCAACCACCACCACAGCTGAGAAAGGATCAGAGCGCTGGTTCTGAATTACAATCACCAACTCACACTCAACGGCCCTCACGGTCTCCTCCCCTCCAGACCAGGGCCCAAGGCCATCAGCAGAAGTACCAGGTTCATGGGAGATGAGATTCCTTCAGGGTTAAATGACCTTTCCCTCAAAGATCTGATGGATCAAAGTTACAGTGTCTCAAGCCATTTTCTTTCAATTATAGTTTGAAGAGTTGAGCTTATATTTAAGCAAAACCAGCATAAGTAAAACATGAAAGGAAAACTAAACCAGCGCCTCTAAATAGTCTCAAAAACAAGAAACGAAAAAAAAGCTCAAAAACTTTTGACAAAAAGTGTGTCCTTTCCTGCACCCGCTTGGAAGAAATGAGAGTAAAATGCAGTTACATGATTATAAAACTTTAACTTCTTGTTCAACCAGACTTTTCAACCATTTGAATCAGTTTTTGTCGTTTGCTTATTTTTGCACATGTAATGTTTCTGCAATTTGAAATACAATTGAACTCTTCTAGGATTACACTTTTTTGCAATAGCCTCAATAATTTACCACAAACTTTTAAGAAGTGTGGGGCTGTGAAGAATAGCATTGTAAGGAAAATGTTCTAGAACACAGGCGTTAGCTTCTAAAATTAAGACATGGGAGAAGGCCTAATTATATGATTACAAGAGAAAAATTCATTGTATATATGTGTGTGTTTATGTGTGTGTGTGTGTGTGTATCCCTGACACATATCTGGCTGAACACACCATGCTCTATTGTATTCCAGGGCTGAAGAGTAATCACAAACCCTGTGCAGCAAGGTTTGGATGAGCCTGGCTCCAGCTCTCCAGCTGTCCTGAGCGATCTCTACTGCACAGCCTACAGCAGGGGCTAAGAACAGACACGGCCCATCTGCCCAGAATCATCTCCCTGTGCACTAGGCCGTGAAGCAGGGCTCTGGAAGCGGCTGGGCGCCCTGCAGGAGGGGGCATGCAGGCGTCTTCTTCACCACCTTGTCGTAAGGTTTTCATGCTCCCACCCTGGGATGCGGCTGGGGCCTGCTCTGGGCCCCTGGCATGGTGCCTGCCCACCCTGCTGGAGACGGAAGCCTGAGGCAGGTCCGCAGAGCTATCACTAGGGTCAAAAGCTCTGTTCAAAGCTGAGCTCGACTCTACGTTTTCCAAAAATGTGAGGCACTTGCAAGAACGTGTGAGGAAATCATCTCAGAAGCGCTCTGAACCAACTGTGGATGTGACTTGAGTAACCACGGGTGAGGGTGAGAATCGTAAAGAACTTCAGCTGTCGGAAGGGTTTTTATAAAGGAGGCCCAGGCACTGCGGTCACTCCTGTCCCACTTTTACTTTAAAAAGGCAACAGGGACAAGGGAAGGCACCATGACTGGATCAGTGCATGGAATGTTCAGCGGTCTCAGAGAGCAGTTTTTTTTTCCAGTTGTTAGGCAAATGTTTGTTTGTTATGATAAACTTCTTTTTCAAAGTTTAATAAAGCTTATTTTTGAAAAATCTGCCTTTATTAGGATGGTAGTGAGATTGTGAGGAAGTCATCATAATCAGGATCTTTGTTTTGGTAAACTGTGCTGTATGTGTTTCGATTATTTTTAATTTAACTTATTATTTTTTTGCATGGGGTAGCAGAAGTGAAGAGGAGAGGAGAGGAGAGGCGTGGGACAGAAACATTTTAAAAAGTATGTCTGACATGCCATATCACTGGCGGTGGCTTTTAAAGGACAATCTTGACTTTGTGAAGCGTTTTTAACACGTTTTAGGTCCTAATCTATTACAGTTCTTTGCAGATGAGAATAATATCATAATGAAAGAAACCAGCTGTCTTTCTCCAGAGCCGTGCCAGGGGGTGGATGGAGGGAGGACTTTCCTACCTTCAGCACAGATGCTATCACGAAAATAGATTCACAGTCTAGGTGCACTTCAGCTCCAGCGTTCAGTTTCTCTTTCAGCTCTCGGCACGATTTCACATTGGCTGACTGTCTGAAGATGCCTTTTGTGAGGGGTCCTTTTTGGTAAAGGAAAAAAAGCATATCCTATGGGGAAGCAAAGAAAAAAAGGCACTTTCACACACCAGCAATCTCTCGGCTGTCAGAGGCTCAGGGGACGAGGGGAGAGCATGAGGGCTGGGGCTGGATGGACTGCTGGCAGAATTAGTTAGATATTTTTTTTGGTATCTCTAAATGTCCTTTCTTCTATTTATTCAACACCTAAAAAACATTTTACTTTAAACACTTGCTTTAATGAGATTTTCTTGTTTCAATGAACCAACAACCACTTTATTTTTATTTTTTAAATATTTTATTTATTCATTTCAGAGAGAGGAAGAGAGAGATCAAAACATCAATGATGAGAGATTCATTGATCAGCTACCTCTTACACGTCCCCTGCTGGGGACTGAGCCCAAAACCTGGGCATGTGCCCTGACTGGGAATCAAGCCCCAATCTCTCTGATCCTAGGTCGATGCTCAACCGCTGAGCCATGCTGGCCAGGCACCAACAGCCACTTTAAACTCAGATTTCCCTAACTGCTTCAAGGTCTGTCAACTGGACTCTCTTCTAGCTCAGGATTCTATCCCCATTACTCTCTTACACAAACTCTTCTCCCCAAATATGGAAATATTATCGTCAAATGCATTCTCCACTTGCTCCTCTCTCTTTTTATGCATCTTCACACTTCACTCTACTTCCCGCAGTTCCTTCCTCCTGTTCCCCCAGGAGGCTCTCTCCATCCCGTTCCATTCTGACCCATCTCTCATTCTGCTTTCTTTCAAGCTGTACAGTCTCTGCCTTCGATGCAGGAAAAGAATGGGTGTTGGAGAAAGCGACCCATGGGATTTGAAACCTAGTTAGAGCACATGTTTAATGTGTAATCTCGGGTAAACCTGAGGCTTTTAAAATAAATCTGTAAAGCAGAGATGATGATGATGGTGATGGTAACTACCTCCTAACTCCGCTGTGCAGGGAATGCAATGGAGTGGCTAGGCCAGTGTCTGGCACTTACAGATGCACAAAATACCATAAAATGCGTACATCTAGTCTAGGACTTAGAGGATGCTGGATACTCAGTAAATGCCGCTTAGCAATGATCATTTACTCTATCAACTGGGGACAAGACAAACACAGTGGTTTCCATCTGACCTATTCTATGCGAGAAAGATAACGAAATGCCAGAGGATTTATCTTTATGCATAAACACTTGAAGTACAAATACAACACATGTAAGATTTTTTAAAAGCATCTGATTGAGTAGTCTCTGCTGCTAAAGTGATTGCAGGAGGCTTTCTGAACAATGTAGGATCCAAGAAAGGAAGTGAGGGAAATGTGAGGGCTAATGTGAATTCTCCGTCTACCAAGCAAATTCTAATTTATCTGAGCAGGCTTATGTGGCTCTTTCCTGAGGCGAGTAGACTACATGACCTCTTCCTATTATGTCTAATTTACGATTACACAATAGCGTAATCAGATTTCTATTCTTTGAAGAAATAATAACAAAGATTCTCAGCCAAAGCCATAGGTGTCTATAATATTTCCATTTGCGGACAGATTTGCCCTCCAGAGCTCTCTCCTTCCCCAAATCTATTTTCCCATTGGGGTTCCAGGCCAGAATGAGGCTTACCAAGACAGGCTTGGGCAGGTTGTCGTTCTCACAGATATTTGGCAGAGACACTCCAAAGAGCTGTCCTGGCATAGGAGAGGTTGGGGACATCGGGAGGTTGTCGAGGTGAGTGCCAGAACCCCGCCAAAAGGCCCAATTGATGATAGATCTTCTCCTTTTAAATGTCTTCTGACCCGAATCTAAGGAAGAAGTATGAAAACTGGGTTAATTCACTTAACCTCATTTCCACAGTTTCCATTTTACATTATGTTCATTACTGTGGCTCAAAGAGAAAAAGTGTTTATAGCTGCCCTTTGTTACTGTTAATCTATGAAGCTTCATTATAACATTTTATAAAGTGTGACAAGATCAAACATTCAGGTGATTCTCCTATCCGTTTATGGACTGTCGCTGGTTTATTTACATGAGTTCTGGCGTTGAATTCTCTAAGGTGAAATAAAGGGCCCCTTGCTGTGCTGTAACAACTTAAAGCAAAAAGTGTTTCATACTAACATATATGTATTGTCTCCTTCTAGGGAAGAGACTAGGCACACAAAATAGCTGAACATTAAATTAGACCACAATCAAATAGTAAAAAAAACAAAACAGGAGGAGGAGGAGAGGGGGAGGAGAGTGGTCTCTATTAAGATGTTCTCTTGAAGCCAAGGGTGCATTATTACCCGATGGCCCCTCTGCTGCTGAGACAGGAAGCTAATGCCCTACATGGGCCCCCTTCTTTCCAGCGGCAGACTTGCATGTGTCTTTTCAGTTCCCAGCTTAGAAAAGCCTTCAGGCAGCATGGGCCGTTGCAAGCCTGAATGAGACTTGCCCTTGCCATGGTGAAGCTTCTAATCTGATGGCGGAGCAAGACTGGTGGTGGCGGGGAGAAGCAGCGAGGACGCTAATTAATAAAATGCCACCGGGGAGGAGCAGAGCACCAAAGGCCTTCAGAAGACGGGTGCCACACGCCTGCCCACGCGGGAGGCCGGGAGCCCGGGGGCACCGGCGGCCCATGTGGATTTGGGATGAGCTCCAGCCCCAGAGCCCCCAGCACCGCGCCTGCCGTTGAATAACACTCAACAGCCATTCTTGAGCAGCTAGTTAAGGAGAGACGTAGGCGGGAAAGAATAAACAGACAATAGAACAAAACAGGCAGAAGTACAGAGGTCAGGGTGAATCAGGGTTTTGCGGCACCCCAGTGCTGGAACAGTTTTGATGTCATCCGCGTCTAATTTTCACATGAGAGCTGATGGATATGCACGGGATTTGAGATCTAGAAAGGATCCTCTTAAACAGTCCTCCCCAACGCCTACACACAGACACCAACGATAAACTCTGGACAGAATTTAAAAAGTCTATCAGAGGGCACTAAAGAGGGACCAAAAGAAGGGAAATACTTGAGATAAAAGTTTGACACCTGGAAGAAGGGAATGGCATGGCGCTGGGTAAGTTTTCTATTTTTACAGCTTTTAGCCTGGAGATAGGCCCCAGGGTGGTGGGGTGACCAAAATTTGGAGAGAAACCTGCACTCTCGCTGGCTTGGAGAACTAGAGAAGGGAGGTGGAGGTATCCACAGCAGCTGGAAAGCGAGGAGAGGAAATCGTCAGAGAAAACTAAATAGTGGGAGCTCCAAGTGCTGTGTGTAAACTCTGCCCAAATCTCTGCAGACCCCTGAAACACCCATGTGTGGGGCAGATTCAAAATAGCCTGTAGTTAAGGCCAACTGCACTGAGATTTAAAGAGCCCTGGTCCTCAGGTGGAGCCACACAGGCCGGGCCCCATCTTCTCCAGTGAGAGAGCACGGCACTTAGTCACTGAACTCTGGCTTCCTGTCACCGACAGCCACCTGGCCTATCAGAGCTGATGTTTAACTACTCAACATCCCTGGACAATGGGGCGCTGGAGATGAGCTTTTCAGGCTGAACAGGGTCAGCAGTGTCAAGTGCTCATTTCAAAGAAATGTTTTATTTCCTCAGAATGATCAAATTAAACCAAACGCTAAAAAAGCCAAGCTGTGGGAAGATAAACAAATAAGTGACACTTTACTGAATGGCCTTCGGGCCACCATCCACCCTTGGCTTCCCCAGGACACACAGGGGCAGCCTCAGTGTGCACACACCCAGGTGTCAAGGCCTTTGGGTCTAGAGTCAGGAGCCCAGTTAGACTCTGGGCTCTGACACTTACTTGGGCAACTTACTTAACCTCTTTAAAATGAGAATGATATCACCTACCTCTCAAAGGCTTATTGAGAGGCTTAAGTAGGATAATGCATGAAAAGAACTACTTGGCCCAGGGCATGGGTGGCAGTGATCTTGATTAAAGCTGCTAAGACACCAATCTCCTCCCCACAACCCCTCTCCACTTGGCCTAGGAGCCTTCGGAAGGACGCAGACAGGAAGAACGCCCGGCTCTGCTTCACCGGAGTTCCCACTGTCCTCCTGCCCTGACACTCCCAACCTGTGCCACCCTGAAAGGACAGAAAAGGGACCGAAACCCATTCTTAAACCCAGGAGAGGCTCCAGCATGCCCAGTGATGCCCATTTGTGCAAATGTTTCTTTAATTTGTATGTTTGCATATGTCGAGTAGTTGTACTTGGTCTAGTTTCCTCACATTTAACCTGGTTTCCTTGTTTCTAAAACTATCAGATCTATTTGACTTTCTAGCTGCCACACACTTCTTAGGAGGAAGGCCTCATCGCAGAGTTATGGACCCAGCTACCCTGCGAGTGCAGAGAGCGGCTAAGCAGTACAGCCCCGGCTGCGGCCATGCCTTTTGTGATGTGCGACATTCAGTTTTAGTTTCCGTTTCCTCTGGGGTGCAGAGGGAAAAAAATTTCATTAGAATTCACTTTCCTGAAGAGCTCTGAACGCATAGCTGTTGCTTTCTAAATGTCAGAGGCTGAGGAAAATCACGCTATTGCTATTAAAATATAAAGGTGATATGAAGATATGGCAAACAAACTTCATGTAGCTCTCACTTTCCTAACCAAGCCTGGCAGGGTTCCGCTAGCGGTCCTTCATGCTTAAGTTGGGGAACTGAACACTAAGAATTACAATTCTTAAAAGTCTGTGCTTATAGAGTAAAAATCACAACAAAACCTTAATTAGAAATTCTATTCTAGCCAAGTAACTCTCCAAATTAAAAACGGCCCCTCTCCCACCCAGGGTATGAAACGTGTGGGAGAATTCTAGAATGATACGGCAATCAGGTAGAAGAAAAAGGTGCACCCATATTTTACCACCTACCATAAAGATTCAGTCCCATTAGCCCTGGGCCTGAAGCACACGTGGCAGGCGAGCCTGTAGCGGGAGCAGAGCTGGGAGTTCAGTTCTGCCCAGAGCCTCCAGAGCTACTTCAGTCCATTCCCAGAAAGACCCCACTTCAACCCGAGCTCTGCTCCACTCAAGGTTTCCCATGAAGGCGTTTCTAAGCCGCTCAGTCTTCCACGTAACTTCTCTACACCAGACTTCTCTGTACCAGACTAAGCCCTGCTACGAGTTCCCAGGCTTTAAGCAAGCTCACAGGCTAATGAGACATAAACAAATCATCGTAATATAATTTTTATGGGTTACACTAGAGATATAAAAACTGTTCTAGACATCCAGAAAAGGGGGCAACTACCTGTCTGAGGGAACAAGGATCTACTGGAAGTGATATTTGAGTTGGGTCTTGAGGTCGGGTCTTTAATGTTTATATCCTGAACCCCCAATTAACACTAGAGCTGTTTGCCTGGGGACCAGCCACCGCAGGACTGAGTTACAGTGATCTGAGTCGCAGGGGTAGCCTTCTGAGAGATCTCCTGCTACTGTTTTCAGTAGGGTAGGTACATTCAACAGTGGTTACATTTCCCCCACACCGAGGCAAAATCTGAAAAACAGGTTGGGGGTAACTACATTCACCTTTGGTTATTTTGGGTAACTGAGATATTTTCCTTCTGCTAACTAGAGTAAGCTTCCCTCAGAAATGGACATACAAAGTTATGTCTTTATTCTAGTGTGGCTCTTGGATCCTTGGCCTTGCTTATTGATCAAATTAATTAAAATAAAATTAATAAGAGACACAAAGAAATAGTTTGAAAAACATGGGTATAAACTTATAAGAGTATAGTAGTAGTCTCAACTCAGTGATAAAAGCAACATTCTCTTTGTATCTTTAGTCACCAGTAACAGACCTATTAATAAATTCACTCCTTCATTCAAAAATATTTCAGTTCTTCTTTACATATGTCAGACACTGTTCCAGGTGTTGGGAATACAGCAGTGAACAGGCCAGAAGCTCTCCCTCCATGGAGCTCACATTTTAATGGATGGAAAACTACATCTCTGTAAGACCCCTTCAAAATGGCCCGGAGATGTGAGTGAAAACCTTAGATTTCAAGAACTCAAGTTATTATTATAGGAGAGAAGATGGCTGGTTCAAATGTAAGTTTTTACAGTGGATGTTGGCAAGATGACAGATAAATGCAATAAAAAAGATAAAGTTGGATGGCAACGCTGAGCATTTTTTCACATGTCTCTTGGTCATCTGTGTGTCCTCTTTGGAGAAGTGTCTATTCAGGCCCATTGCCCATTTTTTAAATTGGATTGTGTGTGTTACTGGTGCTGAGTTGTATAGGTTCTTCAAATATTTTGGAAATTAACCCCTTATTAGATGTATCATTGAAATATGTTCTCCCATACAGTGGGTTCCCTTTTCATTTTGTGGTTGGTTTCTTATGCTGTGCAGAAGCTTCTTATTTTGATATAGTCCCATTTGTTTATTTTTTCCTTTGTTTCTCTTGCCTTCGGAGGTATATCAGCAAAAATATTGCTATGAAAGATGTATGAGATTTCACTGCCTATGTTTTCTTCTCGGGTTTTTATGGTTTCCTGACTTACATTTAAGTCTTTTATCCATTTTGAATTTATTCTTGTGTATGATGTAAATTGGTGGTCTAGTTTAATCTTTTGCATATATCTGTCCAATTTTCCCAACACCATTTATCGAAAAGACTGTCTTTACTCCATTGTATGTTCTTGCCTCCTTTGTCAAATATTAATTGACCATAAAGGCGTGGGTTTCTTTCTGGGTTCTCTGTTCTGTTCCATTGATCTACACGCCTGTTCTTATGCCAGTACCAGGCTGTTTTGGATGACAATGGTGTTGTAGTGTAGTTTGACATCTGGTAGTGTGGTCCCTCCAACTTTGCTCTTCTTTTTCAAGATTGCTGAGGATATTTGGGGTCTTTTTTTGTTCTATATGCATTTTTGGAATATTTATTCTAGATCTGTGAAATATGCCATTGGTATTGTAATACAAATTGCATTGAATCTATAGATTGCTTTGGGTAGAATGGACATTTTAGTGATGTTAATTCTTCTAATCCATGAACATGATATATATTTCCACTTATTTGTATCTTCCTGAATTTCTTTCTTCAATGCCCTATAGTTTTCCAAGTACAGATCTTTTACCTCCTTGGTTAAATTTAATCCTAGGTACCTTATTTTGTTGTTGTTGCAATAGTAAATAAGATTGTTTTCTTAGTTTCTCTTCCTAATACTTCATTATTAGTGTATAAAATGCCATCAATTTCTGGATATTAATTTTGTACCCTGCTATTTTGCTGAAACATTTATTAAATCTAGTAGTTTTTTGGTGGTGTCTTTAGGATTTTCTATGTACAATGTCATGTCATCTGCAAATGATGACAGTTTCACTTCCTGCTTTCCAATTGGATGCCTTTTATTTCTTCTTCTTGTCTGATGGCTGTGACTAGGACTTCTAGTAAGTACTATGTTGAATAAGAGTGGTGAAAGTGGACATCCCTGCCTTGTTCCTGACCTTAAGGAAAACACTTTTAGTTTTTGCCCATTGAGTAAGATGTTGGCTATAGGTTTTTCATATATGGCCTTTATTATGTTGAGGTATGATCCCTCTATTCCCATCTTGCTGAGAGTTTTTATCATAAGTGGGTGCTGGATTTTATCGAATGCTTTTTCTGCATCTATTGATATGATCATGTGATTTTTAAAAAATATTTAAGGTTTATTTTTATTATTGATTGACTGATTGATTTCAGAGAGAGAGGAAGGGAGGGGGAGAGACAGAAACATCAATGATGAGAGAGTCAATGAGTGGCTGCCTCCTGCATGCCCCCTGCTGGGGATCAAGCCTGAAACCCAGGCATGTGTCCTGACTGGGAATCAAACCTCAGTCTTCTGGATTACAGGTTGCTGCTCAACTGCTGAGCCACACTGGCTGGGCTTATTTATTTTTTTAAAATGTATCTTCATTGTTGAAAGTATTACAGATGTCCCCTCTTCCCCCCTACTACCATTGGCCCCCTCCACACTGCTCCCACCCCTCCCCAGGCCTTCCCTGAACTATTGTCTGTGTCCATGGGCTATGCATATAAGTTCATGGTTAATCTCTTCCCACCCCTCTTCCTGATCATGTGATTTTTGTCCTTCAGTTTGTTATGTCATGTGTCACATTTATTGATTTGTGAACATTGTACCAGCCTTGCATTCCCAGAATAAATTGCACTTGATCATGGTATATTATCTTTTGAATGTATTGCTGGATCTGATTTGCTAATATTTTGTTGAGGATTTTAGCATCTATGTTCATCAGAGATTTTGGCCTATAATTTTCTTTCTTTTTAGTGTCTTCATCTGGTTTTGGAATTAGGATAATGCTGGAAAAATGATCAACATCACTAATCATCAGAGAGATGCAAATTAAAACTATAATGAGGTATCACCTTCTATCTGCCAGAATGGCTGCCATCAATAAATCAACACACAACCAGTGCTGGCGAGGCTGTGGAGAAAGGGGCACCCAAGTACACTGCTGGTGGGAATGCAGACTGGTGCAGCCACTGTGGAAAACAGTATGGAGTTTCCTCAAAAAATTAAAAATGGAACTGCCCTTTCACCCAGTGATCCCACTTCTGGGACTATATCCTAAGAATCCTGAAGCACCAATTAGAAAGAATATATGCAGCCCTATGTTCAGAGCAGCATTATTAACAATAGCCAAGATCTGGAAACAGCACAACTGCCCATCAGTAGACGAGTGGATAAAAAAGCTGTGGGACATTTACACAATGGAATACTACGTGGCTATAAAAAAGAAGGAGCTCTTACCTTTTGCAACAACGTAGGTGGATCTTATGCTAAGTGAAACAAGCCAGTCAGAGAAAGACAAATACCATATGATCTCACTTATATGTGGAATCTAATGAACAAAATAAACTGACCAAAGAAATAGAACCAGAGGCATGAATACATGGAACAGACTGCCAGCTGTCAGAGGGGAGGGGGTTGGGTGACTGGATGAAAGAAGGTGAGAGATTAGCCAAAGAACATGTATGCCTAACCCTTGGACTCAGACAACAGTGTGGTGATGGCCAGAGAGAAGGGCGACAGGGGCGAGGTTGAGGTGGGCAAAGGGGGGGATAATGGGAGACATCTGTTTTTTTGTGTCAATAATAAAAATACAGTTAAAAAAGAGAAAGTTGGATGATCACGTGTGGGGAGGTGTATACAAAATAGCTGCCACCGTTCGCTGGGTCCCCGGGCGGTCCGAAAGGCAGCTACAGAAATTCAGCATGGCTTTTCTGCTCTCTCACTCACACCTGTTGGTTCCTGCTCCTTCTGTTTCTTACACAATCTTACTTTCAGGCTGAGGGCTTGAAGCTACAACTTGGGTTAGGGTACATGCTGGGCCTCCTCTGCTGAGTATCGCTTTATCAGTCTTTATAGTGGGGAGGGCGAGGGAAGGCTGTGTGACAGGGAGCTCAGGTTAGATTAGCAGACTGAGGCGAGATTTTGGTGGAAATCATCTTAGCCTCACGTGCTTATCGGGACCAGGATCCGCGGAGGGCATCGGTCTCCTGACCCCATCACTGAAAGCTCCTTTCAATAAGGCGACCACCCAGGGGAACACACGGAGCGATGTACTGCGGCACAAAGGCACCGAGGCACCTGCGCTGCCGCGGGCGTGAGGTTAAAGGGGAAAGAGCAGCGATGACGGGAGGGGCAGGCTGTGCCGCTGCTTCTGTTAGTCACGCCGGCTGCTGATTTATAAAACCATCTTCCCAAACTTCCCTTTCAGAACACCGAGCAAGTTCGAGTGAAAAAATACCTCGTCTGGCTGGAAGTCTGGGTCTTCGCCTTTGTACCAACTCTGCTTTCAGGAATGAAACATTTCGCTAAGGAAAGGGCTCTGGGAGGAAGGAGCAGCAACTCACCGCTCAGCTGCAGGGCCGCGGCCAGGCGGCTGGGCTTCAGGGTGAACTGGCACTGCATCTCCCGGGGCAGCTGCTCCAGGAGGAAGGGCTCCTGCAGGCTGGGCGGGCTGCCGCAGTCCTTGGGCTCCGGCGTCAGCAGGGCAGTGTCCCGCAGGTGGCTCATTTTAATCCCGTAGGGATATTCGTGCCCTGCACAAACAGAGGTCCTCATGCACACCTTAGGCTGACCGCCCCTGTGAGCGTGTGTGCGACATACCGGGCTGTACTGCTCTTCGCTCCTGGGACTTCTGGTATAAAGAACCCTTTTGCTGACGGGGCGACCCCCATGCCCACTCTCAGGGCTGGAGCCCGCTGCACAGTACAGGTGGTCCTACCAGAGTAGTTTTAAGGGGGCGGGGGAGGGAGACCAACGCACAGGTTGGTTTGTGAGTTGTTTTCTATGTTCACGTCCACGAACATCTAAAGGTATTCCAGTTTTTCCATTGATATTAACTATATCTGTAAATCTTCAGCAAAATCCTTGACCTCTATCAACCTCAAATCGATGACTTAAAATAGTTGCCTTACTCATCACTATTATAAGAATCAAATAAGTAAGCATTAGTGTTAATATCACTTAAATAATACGAGCAAAACACTATATATTTCAAGCATCACTCATGACTATTACTCAACACAAGATGTCTGAAAAAGACATTTCGTTACGTTTTATCAGTTGTGTAGTCAGAGCTGCCCGGGAGCATCAGGGCTGGTTTGCTTTCCTCCCACTGCTGCTCTGGGGGGGGGCGGGGATCGCAGGCGACAATCAGAAGGGGGGCTGCAGGGCGTCAGAAGCAGAAACAAGATGCACAAAGGAACCTGTACGCTGGAAAAACTAAACCCTGGATGTCGGACTGAAATATGAGTTTTTGCCCTTTGGTACTGTAAGTGATTGCATTTTCTTAATTCAATCCTTAAGTACCATTGTGCTGTGTTCAGTTTTTCTTAAAGTACAGAGAATAATTTCTCTTCTGTTCCTGACTTATCACTGAATGTAACTCGGTGAACTCTTCCTATTCCTTTTTATCTGGCATAGGCATACAATGCCAATATTCCATTAATGTCAAGTACTCCAGGGATTAAGGCAAAANTTTCTTAAAGTACAGAGAATAATTTCTCTTCTGTTCCTGACTTATCACTGAACTCAGTGAACTCTTCCTATTCCTTTTTATCTGGCATAGGCATACAATGCCAATATTCCATTAATGTCAAGTATTCCAGGGATTAAGGCAAAAAAAAAGGTACTACTATGACAGCAATCAAACAAACTCATTTTAATAGCAAGCCACTAATCCACAACTGCAGTTTGCAATGCACATTACAATATGCAATGAAGAACTGTTGTTAAGTATCAGTCATGCCCTGTGTTCTGTGGTTTTTTTAGTGAGAGTTAGGGATAAAACCTGAAGCTGATTTAAGTCTAAAAGTTACCATATAGCTTTAATTAAATTAATCTATTTCATTAAATTTTATTAACTTTTTAAACATTTATTTTGTTTTTTAAACAGAGGAGTAGGTTTTTTTTTTTTTTTGTTTTTTTTTTAAATCTTTATTAATTTCAGAGAGATGAAGGGAGAGGGAGAGAGAGAGACAGAAACATCAATGATGAGAGAGTCATTGATCGGCTGTCTCCCGCACGCCCCCAACTGGGGATCGAGCCCACAACCCGGGCATGTGCCCTGACCGGGAATTGAACCTCGATCTCCTGGATGCTAGGTCGATGCTCAACTGCTGAGCCACGCCCGGCCAGGCCATTAAATTTTAAGTATTTATCTGAATTTTAATTACAACTTTGTTGCTCACTAACTTTTATAAAAATGGTAACATGACAGACGAAGCAGTTAGGGCGGTGAGTTTGTCCCTGGCAGGTGCATGAAGGCTTGCTTTCCTCTGAGTCTGAGAGTAAGCTAAAAGCCGTACAGAAAGTCTGGGCCGGCAGAAAAGTCTGCTTTCAGATTATTCAGATCACTTGGAACATTCTGAATTACGCAACAGTGACCTCGCAGGTAAATGAAAGAATTACACGACATAATGCAAAGGATATGTTTCGAACAACGTCTGGCAGAAAGTAAGCGTTTAAAAATGAACAGAAATCATCGACGTCATATCATCTTGAGATCTGTTACAGATACTGTCCCTTATTTTAATTGCTCCATTCCTTAACCACACTGAATGACCTTAACTGATCAAAAAATATTTTTTAGTTAAATGATTTAAATAAGGCAAGGTGAACCTATTTACCAATAATTCCTCAAAACAAATGCTGAGACATTTGGTTAAGGAAATAGAAACGTAAGGAAGTATTAGCTAGTAGGTAAGTCAGTGAAGATTCTTCGGCATCTAAATGGGTCAATCTGATTTTCTTGAAGGCCTCTAGTCCAGTTCTGTGAGATTAAGAGGCACGGGGGGACTCCACATGATCTTCTAGAGCGGCAACTTAACAGGTAGGAAAGGGAGCAGGAAATTCAAGAACCAAATATAAAGAATAAAAATATAGAGGAAAATATAGAGGAATAAACATATTGCTTTCTTGTAAAAAAAAAATTTAAAAAGGTTTGGCAAGACAGCGCTCTCTGTAAAGTATAAATGAAGAGAGGAAATTTACATTTCTCTTCCTAATGATACCATTAGCTGCTTGAGCGAAGAGATATTTGTGTAGCACACAGAAAATGCTTGATAGGTATTTATTAAATAAATGAAGTTTATATGAGATTTAATATTTAATAGCATTCACGCTTAGGACCATGTGACATTTAGAATAAAAATTAAAACATAATCTATCCTATCTTAGATCTTCACAGACACTTACCAATAAGTGGATATGGTGCCTCTTCTTTGCCAGAATTGACCCATAACTGGTAATCTCTCTCAGAGCCCTTCAAAAGAAAATAATTTACAATAATTCTTTTATGTTTGGTGATTGAATGAAAACACATTTTTTTTTGGGGGGCATTTTTATGTTTTGCACCAAAAATGGGAACAATATAAATACCTTTGGATACATGGGAGTGGTTATAGTTTTTGAAGAAGACAGTGCTGATTCCTACAGCCCTTCTCCCCTCTCTCCAATCCCCAAAGGAGTACTCAGGAATCCTGCCTTGTCCTAGCGATGGCTCGGAATCCAAGAACTGCAACGGAATCAGAACCTCACTCTCACGGGTGGCCCACGGAGTGTGCAGTCACAAAGGAAGTTTCTCAACTTCCTTTGCGGTTTTCTAAAAGACTAACATCTTTTCTAGAGTCCCGACTTCAGCTATGCCTCCTGACTACTCAGACAATACTGGGCTTAATCTCCAACATGCCCCTGCGAAGACCTCCTTGTCACCCAGGACCCACAAACACTGTTGTGTCTGTGATGAAAAACACAAAATCTCAAAAGCTGACTATTAGCTCAGCTGATTCTGAGCAGAAGAATGACCACGAGGCTCTGAGAGATAGGTAGCTGGCACAGTCTACACTGGATTTGTTTGGGGCACGCAAGTTCAGTCCTGGTGACAGAAAGGACAAGAATTCTGTCTAGGGAATAGGCCCAGAGAGGGAAAACAATGGAACTGTTCATTAGCAGACTTACAACCCAACCTCAAAGAAATAACACTCAATGATACAAACTGCTGTTTCTAGGAGAGGAAAAAGCAAAAATGTTTTAAATGAAGCCAAAAAAGATTGGAATATTAATATTCCTGCCTTTATCTCCTGATGAAAAATCACGGCCCTGCCCTGGCCGGGTGGCTCAGTTGGTTGGAGCACCGTCCTGTGCACCAAAAGGCTGTGGGTTTGATTCTCGGTCAGGGCACACACCTAGGTTGTGGGTTCGACCCCTGGTCAGGCATGTAAGGGGGGGCAACTGATCGATGTTTTTCACTCATATCGATGTTTCTCTTTCTCTCTGTCTCTACCCCGTTCCTGTCTCCAAAATCAATAAAAAAAATTTCCCTCCTTCCCCCCTGGTCTATTGGTCATTTCCTTCCTCACCCCCTAGCCCAGAAATTTTATTGCAAATAGGAAGAACAATCTAATAAAAAATCCTTTCTCTTTTTGGTAGTGTCTGTAATAATCTCTTAGAGCTGTAAAAATTATTCTACTGAATAGAAACATTTTTGGTCTGAGGAGATGGATCACTTTATCCAAAGGAAAAGCATAAATAAGAAAATGAGTCATGTCTTAATCTCCTTTCTTTCCCTTTAAAAACTACTGACTCTCTTCCAAGACATAAATTTATAAGCTTAGAAATCAGTGCCGAGGTGCCTCCTTTACCCCTTGCATACAAACTCAGTGGGGAGGGGGAGACGGAGGGGGGAACAGGGGGATAAATGGTGATGGACAGAGACTTCAACTGGAGTGGTAAACACAAAATACAGTGTACAAATGAAACAAATACACTTAATTACATCTTAAATATAGTGTTAAACTTCATTAAAAGAAATCAGATTTCTTATCCTAAGTTTTGGTTGCCCTGAGGCTTACTGCTACATTGTGTAAAAGCAAATCTAAACATAGTGAATCAGACTATGGCACATGTTAACCATATGTCATGTGTTGCTTCGTAGGTGTTTTCACAGAGAATCTCTCTCAAGAAATGGTGTTGGGCAAGCGCTTCCTTTAGTTTCCATCCGTCTGCAAGTCACTCCCTTTAATACAAGCACCCACTGTATGATGCTTACATATCGGCAGGGAGATGACGAGAACTTTCCCGTTCTCCTTCCCCTGCCTCACCCTCAAATATCCCAATCTTCACCATTAATAATATTTTGAAAACCTGTCTTTGCCCCATAAAACAGAAAGAAGCTAAATGCAAAGCAGGGGGAAGTGGGGTGTGCACACTAAAGCTCTTTAACTCCACCACCCAATTCCAAGCTTGTTTGTGAATTTACCAGTTCATGAGAGGTACCAGCCATCTCATCCTCTGGATGTGCAGCCAGTGGACACGGGTTCTAGCTATGTGTTCTTTACGTAAAAATTCCACTACACAGCAAATCCTTCAGAATTCTTCACCCTAAGGCCTACTGAGCCTTGAGAGTAACAAGAATGACTAGGTAAGGGCAAAGAACTGGGCGAAGATTCGGGAAGACAGTCAGAGAGTGACAAGAGGGAAAGAGGGGTGAGGCTGGAATTCTCCTATTAAGAAACTTATTCCAAAAAAGCCCAACTGTGTGTGCAAATAGCATATGCAATACAATACATATTATCTTATCAACACTCTAAAATTAGAGTCTAATCTTGTACTTTTCAGTTTGCACAGGCTTTAAAATGAAAGTAGAAGAATGGCACCTAATATTAAGCTAATATTAAGGCTTTGCTGTCCTTATTTTCGACATTTTTGGGGACGAAATATTTTGGGGACTTTGGTATCTCTAGCAATCAGCTGTCTTATGATGGAAGGGGTCGTATTTATGTGAATCTAAGGTATTAAAGTTTGTGAATGAACACTGTCCAGCAGAGTGACTTACAGTTATCCCTAGCATTGGGAGAGACATGTTGATAACTTCATTCGCCGTATCTGAATTCGTTATTGTTATAGTTTTAGACTGTAGGAAAAAAGAAATAAGGAATACAGCCATAAGTAAAGGATTTTAAAATGGGTGAACAAATAATTATTGTCAAATGATTATCTAAAGGCAAATCTTGATTTCAAGTGTTGACAGATTAAAGCATGTAATTTAATTAGAATACAAACCCTTGATTATAATTTACTTGCATGCCATTATATATTATGTCTTTTATTAAAACATCTATTTTTCTTGAAATTAAGAATATGTGGCTCACAAATCTAAGAGTATAAGCAAGAAAGAAATAGAGCAAGTGTATTTCAGAGAAAGTCCATGGACCACCCTCCCAACCAAAAGGAAATGAGTGAGGCTGCCCCTCTGCTTCATTTCCATAATGCAACGTGTAATAAAAGAGGGAGAGAACTGGATCACTCTCTATTTCTCCCTGAGTACTGTTTGCACAGTGAGGGTTTTTATTTCTTTGCACGGTAAAAAGTCAGTTTAGGTAAAACCAGAATAATGACTGGATATTAAAGATATTTAAAGTTTAGAATTTTTAAAAACCACTATTTATTGAGCATTTGCTAAATGTTAGGCACTGTGGCTACTGAGATTCTGGTTGCTGAAATCTGTAGAGGCCTTAAAACCAATGGGTCTAGCACAGAGGACTGACATTTTAGGAAGCTCAATTCTGTTACCAACTCTGCTTTGAATGGGGTGAAGTGTATATTAGCTCTGTGCTAATATACACTGAGAAACTACTACTTAGAAACAGAAAGACAGTTTGCAACAATCAGAAAGGGGTAGCAAGATTCTGAGCTAGCTATAGCATTCACTGAATTCCAAGACATTGTTTAAGACAATGCTAAGCTATCAAAAAAGAAATATTTACTATGCACATATATTTTTCATATTATAATGATCAGATACATCAGGAGTTAAGGCTGTGTCCCTGGATAGGGCTTAAATGGCACAAATAAGCAGCATAAATGAAAACAAAATGATAAATAACCGAAAGTGATATAAAAATAAAGCTAAGTGAAATCCATTGATAATTCATTACTTATCCCTCCATTATAGTATTTCTTCCTCAATGAACCACTTGACAAGTCAAAATGCCTCTTAAGGTTGGTTGTTTATTGATTTCAGATTGTGCTCCTTGTAGCTCCAAGATTATGCAAATGTGTTTCAGAATCCAACAGGGAAGGCTCAGAGCACCCAGCCCGGTGTTTGTCTTTGACCAGAGTGGCGAAGATGTTTTATATATTGGGCTTTAACTTGAGATATAATTCCACGAAAGGCTTCTGTGTCTTTAAAAAAAGTGTGCAAATCCCTCCATTTAATTTAAAAATGCTCTCTCGTGAACTGAGTAATCTACCCTATAATACTAATAATCACTCCCAAGGTACCTGGTTTCTAAGAGAATTTTTCTTAATATTAGGCACATATGTCCATAATAGTAATTATAGAATGCGTATTTTTCCGTGCATGCCTCTCTGGTAGACAAAACAAATTGAATTTCTTTAGATAGAGCTTTTTGGCTAGTAAACAAACAGACAAAACTGAAAATGTGGCTTTTTTCCCCCATATTAGTAGAATTCACTGACAGGCTATATAACTAAAGGCCAAGGACAGAGAATGCTTCCCATGCACAGATTTCTATTTGGGGGAATCACTCTTTCTGGAAGCAGGGCTCCCTGAAAGAAGGCCCCTGCCATGGAGCAACTCCAGACAGCAAAGGAGAGCGTGTCATATTGTTGCTGATTTAACCAGGGTGCCAACCACATCACATGTCTTCTCTTCCAAATGAGAGTGGGACACCAGTCCTTTCTCCAGCACACACTTTCCAAATACACTGAAAGTGTTAAAAAAAAGTTCAGGAGATTTTTCCATGAAAATGCTGAATGTAACCAATTGCCACAACAACTGAATCAAAGCCAGCAGAAAAAGAGTGGTGGTTGTTTTTTTGTTTGTTTGTTTGATTTTGCCACTTTGCTACAGGAGATATCCGTAGTCTTTATATATCAAAATCTGACTGTTTCCCTCAAGCAGTAACATCTGGCACTCATGTCAGAACATTTGCTTAACTTTTGATTTTGGCCTCAACACAACTGTTTGTATTACATACTTTTCCACACACAAAACTATTCTGTGTGATCTAGAGCTGCTGTGAAGAATGACAATTTATAGTAAAAATAAAAATATTCACCAGTTTCCATTTTGTTCATCACTGATTATGTCTCGACAGTTGTACTATATTTTAGTCATCAAATTACACATAATAACTAGAATTAAGTAGACTTAATTTTTATTTGACCAACATGATAAAAACTGTGTGACAGAACCATGCTGATCCCTTAAAAATGTCACCTCTCCCAGCTCATCCAATTATTAACCTGAGGGAGTCAATCCCCCTAAAAACTCAAAGAATGAAGAACTTTCCAAAACCACTCTCTACTTAAGAAGTGATGAGTTGGAAAAATTTTCTTAATACTAATAGGAAATGTGTCCTTGTGGAAATGGCTTAATAGAGCCTCTGCAGCTGCCATCTAAAGGATCCAGAAGAACATTAATGCCAGAGGGAAGAAAGACATCTGACAAGAATATTCCTTCCAAGTGTAAGTGTTAAATACCATAGTTAATATGAATTTCTCTAGCTTCATTTTCTCCAGGGTTTACTTTTCACAAATACAAAGACATATATGTACCCAGGAAAGTGCATTTTGCCACAGTGGTATTTCTAAATGCCTGCCTTGCACAGCACACACACAGTCTCTCTGTCTGCCTGCCTGCCTCCTTTTTTATCAATGGTGTTCTGCCTTATGCAGGGACTTGGAATTTAATTTTCTGGCTTAGAAACACTTACATAGGCACAATTCCCAATGTCCTTGGCGAAGATTTTGAGGGGAATGCTCTTCGGATAGTCCTTCTCTTTCTCTAGAGTGATGTATCTAATCAAATCAACAACAACCCAAAACAACACTGAGTCAGATGGATTTTGCTAAATGGCTTATTTTCAAATCAATCTATTTGGCTAATATTTTCAATATACTTATATGCTATTTTTAAAAAGACAGGTGGAAAGACTCAGCAAAGTGAGATTACATTATGGGTTGGAAGAGAAAAAATCCTCAGGACATTAGGCATGGGAGCAAAAAAGAACGGGAGACCCATTTCGAGTAGGGGGTTTGAGAAGCGCAGCTGGGCTTAGGCACCTCTGCGTGTTTTATCCTCCAAGCTTCCCTACCTGCTCTGGACAGGCCCAGCACCTTGCTTACATAAACACACATAATGCTTTACTAGACCCAACCGGAGCAGTGGCCTTCCCCTTCTCACTTGGCTCTCCAGTGGGGTGTCAACCTTGGTTTTCCCACTGCTTGGGGG